GCAGTGGATTAGAGCCAACTACATCACACCCTGGTTTGCTGTTGGATGCTCTACTGGTTCTTAGATAATTAAAAATACCCTGTTGCACAAGCTAATCCTTTTATTCTGGATATATGGCTCAGAATTAATACAACTATGTCAAACTCCATCCCTGGAAGTGTCCAAGGCCAGGCTGGACAGGGCTTGGAGCAACCTGGGCTGGTGGAAGGTGTCCCTGCCCATGGCAGGGGGTGGGACTGGATGGGCTTTAAGTTCCCTTCCAACCCAAACCATTCTGTGGTGGTTCAATGATGATCATGTCGTCAGCAGGAGCACAATAAAATTTTAAAACTTAGGGCACAGGGCACCACGGAGGCCAAGCCCAGACGTGTAACAACGTTTAAAAGCAGGACACCCACCAACCGCTGTTAAACAGGCCAGTCTGGGCGCAGCCTTGAACTAGTAGTTCCCAAAAATCCAGTTTTCCAAGGCTCCTTCTGCTGCCTGGTTGCTCTCACACGTTTTTCTCATCCCATCTGCCACCAGCCTCCGCCGCGGGAGGAAGAGAACGGGGGCGGGCAGACCTGGGGGAGTTCACCCGGGGAACGGGAACACCCCCGCGGAACCGGAGCAGCCCCACAGAACCGGGGATGTCCCGTGGAAACGGGAGCACTCCCAGAGAACCGGGGGGAACCCCCACGGAACGGGGGCGGGCCCGCGGAACCGGGGCTGTGCCACGAAACGGGAGCAGCCTCACGGTACCGGGGCTCTCCCCCAGGGAACGGGGGTTCGCCCCCGTGCAACGGGAGCTTACCCACGGAACTGGGAGCAGCCCTGTGGAACCGGGGGACACCCCTACGAAACGGGGGCATCCCAAAGGAAAGGGGAGGGCGGCCCCGCTGAACCGGAGCTCCCGTACGGAACCGGGGCACCCCCACGGAACCGGGGCACCCCCGCGTGGCGCGGCAGCGGCCGGTGACACCTTTGTCTGCACCACCGCGTCCTGCCCGCGCCCCTCGCATGGCACGGCCCTTCCCCGCTCCCCTCACCCCACCGAAGGGGGCCTCACAACCCCGCCCCTGGGGGCTCACGGAGGGTCCCGGTGGAACCCCCCGGCCGGTGCCGCGGGGAGTTGGCGGCGGCCATGACGGTGGGGGGGGGGCTCGAGCGCCCCCTGGTGGCGCCGCCCCCGCTCCTCTCACGCCGCGAGGAGGAAAGGCGAGGGGAGGGGGGGGACATCCCCGCGCCTCACGGCGGAGGCCGCGCCGGCCATACGGGAGCCTTTACCTTCCTTGTCCGCCATGGCGGGGCGCGGGGCTGAGGCGCGGGTGGGCGAGGCGGTCGCTGCGCTGGGCGCTCGGAGCCTTCACAGCCGCGGCTCCTTCCCTATTGTTTCCTGCCCCCGCTGCGGCGCGGCTCCCCCGGGCGCCGCGCGCACCCCTTCGCGCGCCAACGCCGCCCAATCAGCGCCCGCCGCCGCCGCGCCGCGGCCAATCGCCGAAGGCGCGGGAGGGGGCGGGGCGGGGACGCGAGCGCGCGCCGCGGTCACGTGGCAGCGCTCCCTGCCCTCAGCGGGAGCCGCCATCTTCCCACCCCCCAAACCCCGCTCGCGGTCTTAAAGGGGCCGCGACCCCCGCGCTGAGGC